ATACCACTCACCTTTCTCAGCCCAACCGAGCCCCCGCTCTCTCCATGAAACCTTCGTGCCTGCCACCACCTCCTTCCTGCGCACAGCACCCCTTCCGCACTCCCCTCCACTGCACTCGGGGCAGCTGCTCCTTCCTCCTCGTAACAGCTCCAGTGTTGCCCATCTCCCCTTGTCTCCTGGGAGGCAGATACTCTGATTTATGTTTCTAACCCTCACATGACTTAGCACAATACTATGCATTTGGCAACTGTTCAGCAAGTAAATTGGTAAATGCTGTCTCTCACATCCTACCTCCTCTCCTTTTCCCCTTCATCCATTCACTGAAGAGATATTTGCTGCTTAACTGCTATATGGCGGGCACTGTGAAAGAGCCTCATGGCCCAGAAGTCCTATTACCCAACACAGAAATACAGTGGCTTTTTTATTTATCCTCCTCAAAATGCCTGCTTCTTTTAGACACAAAAGTAGTCCTTCCAAGATCAACGTTAATATTATGATCCCAATAGACAAGATTTGTTCATTTTCATGAGAAACCATTTTAACTCATAAATGAGACCCCAAAACAGCCTAATGCCTGGCCTTGGGATGGTGGGGACTCAAAGGCGTCTCCCCTTTGGTCTATTCATGCCTCTAACCCACAAACACTTTCTGAGCACCTATGACGTGTCAAGCACAATGGGGATGCCCAGTGGAAAAAATGATGACAGTCCTTAATATGACAGGGAAGAGAAAACCAAGAACAAAATTCCCAGCAATTCCAGGTCCAGCAATTATACGGCACAAGAGGGAACCAGGGGAGTTCCTGGAGGAGCCGGAAGTTGAACTTATTCTACTCAGAGAAACCGAAAAACACTAAACAGTATGTGCTTCTCTTTTGTACAAGAGTTTGAGACCGGATGGGGTGGGGATGAAAAAGGGAAGCCCGCAGCTATGGACAGTCTTCATTGTACTCACAGACAGTAGTCACTCACATCCCCACTGACTGTCCATTTCTGCACATGGGCTCCAGCCGCTGCCGTATCTCCTTGGGAAGGGATGGAAGTAGCCACCTGATGGGCACCTCACCAGCCTGTGGGGGTTCCACTCATTCTGCTACACCAGGAAGCCCACAGCCCAGGCACTCAGGACTTCTCTGGTGAGCAATCAGTCTGTTCTTAAAAAGGTGAGGCCATTTGGGTTTACAAGAACCACTTTTACAGAGGACCTGCTTGGAATCCCTGTAAAATGTTCTTAATAGACTTTGACAGTCTTCACCAACTGTTCTAGTCATTTAAAACTTTTAGTGCTCAAGCTCAGGCCAGGATGAAATGTTTGTCATCTGACGATAATAAAATAGCACTTTAGGGTTTTTAGGCCCTGGAGCAGCAGCACAATTAGAAAAATGGATGACCAAGGAAATAAACTTTGCAATGCAATGTCGGCTTTTAGTCAGTGGTGAGGGGGCGAGTACTTCCCCAGGGATGGAAAAAGGTAAAGCCAGTGCAAATTTAAGAAATAACTCTACCAAGTTAAAAAAGTACATTCAATTCACTCTCCTCCAAGAAGTTAATAGAATCATCTTAAAATTCTATTAGCGAATACTTGCATGTCAAATGTAACAAAAAGGCAGCATCTGTCCACTAAATTAACATAACTTTCTCCATTAAATATGCTTCGGGCACAGTTGTTCAGCAACCACCTTCAGAAGCAAAAACTAAAGTATAAAAACATCATCACAGTCCTCTTTAAGGGAAACTCAAAAGCAAGGCACAGAAATTCACAGAGCAAGAGCAGATTCCCTACAAGACCTCCCACATCATCACGGGAGAGAATTCAGCGGGAACCACAACCAGGCCGGACACCCAGTCACAGGGGAGTCTGTCCTCCACTTACTTTCACTCGTCAGACGTCGCACAGATGTGACCACAGGCCGGGCACCGGGCTAAGCTCCAGAGACAAAGAGCACATGCTGTCGACCTGCCAGATGGGTTGTGTTTTTGTGTGTGTGTGTTCTATGTGACTTTTTCTTTCTTTTTTAATTTAATGCCCTGCTTAAAAGTCAGGAGATCTCACATCAACATCCAGCTGTCCAGCTTCTCTTTAAACATTGCGAGATCTAGCAACATGGGCCCCACATTCCTGAGCTGTAGGAGAGAAGCAACTGACCCTCCAGCAAAGGACGCACTTTCAGGCCTGCCACAGTCCCCACGGCGCCCTACTGCCACCCCAACAACAATCCCAGAGCTTCACTCATTTATGTCCCTGTCCGGATCCCAAGGTACTTGAGTTTGCCACTTCTGGTCTAAGAAAAAAAAAAGTGGATAAAAAATGGCCCCTGTGCCCTGGCTGGTGTTCTCAGTGGCTAGAGTGTTGGTCCTTGCACTGCAGGGTCACAGGTTCGATTCCCAGTCAAGGGCATGAACCTGGGTTGTTGGGGTGAGTATGGGAGGCAATCAGTTGATGTGTCTCTCTCACATCGATATTTCACTTTCTCTCTCTTTCTCTCTCTCTCTCCCTCCCACTCCCTCCCTTCTACTCTCTGTGAAAAACAATGGGAAAAATATACTCAAGTGAGGATTTAAAAAATAAATGTAAAAAGGCCCCTGTGCTTAAGAAACTAAGAGTCTCATAGAGGCAGCAGACAAGATGATAAATTACAACCTGGTGTGATGCAAACTAATAGTTCGTGGTAGAGGAATAGCCAGGGTGCAACAGGAACCCCGAGGAAGGTGTACCTGACTCCACCAAGAGGAGTGGAGGTACCTGGGGCACCTTCAGAGAAGAGAGGACATTTGGGGAGGGTTTTGAAGGATGAGTAGAGGTTCCTCAAGTTGAAAAGGGGAAGGTGAGAGGACTAAAAGAATATGGAACTTTCTGGAGACGGGGTTAAGAAGAAGGGACTTCTATTGCCTACCATGCTCACAAGTTTGAACTTAAGTCTGGGCAATGGGAGCCAGGGCAGTTTAAAGCAGAGGCTGACATGACCGGATTTGTTCTCTCAGGGAAGGATGCTGCCAGCAGTGCCGAATATGACCTGGGGCAAAGAGCCTTGCTGGCACGCACCCCACTGGATGCTAAGGGGAACCCCTTTGCGGTCGCTTCCTGCTGCTCTGAAACCCTGCATTCTCTGCCAATGGCACACACCTTGGCTAACTCGCCTGTTGTTTCTTTCACAGACTGATGTGGGGCGATGCAGTTACCCCTCTTAAACTGGCATAATGCAAGTGCCATGAACAACGTTGACCTTCAAAAAGATCAAAATGCAAGAGCCTAAGTCTCTACAGAGTATCTCAACTTCATACAAAAGAGACATCCTCTTTCACCGGACATGTTTCCGTCCCCATTTATGTCTGGGAGAGACCCATGTGTGGTACCAGTTTAATTTTCCTCATAGTGAAACCACTACAAGCATGCCTAACGCCACCCCCAGCTCCCTGCCCTGTGATGAATACACCTTGATAACTCAAGCTTTGATGCAATGTCTGAAGATGATACAGACAAGACGGGCTCAAAGGAGAGTCATTTTACTCAGTAGCCTCTGGGCGTGTCCCCCATGAAGCAGCACGTGAAGGCCACTAGCAAGGACACCAGGCTGTTGCATATAAGCAAAATGAGGTGGAAAAAATAAACACCACCTCAAAGCAATGAAAATCCAATCAGTTTCGCTTTTCTCCCTCAAACTAAACCGTATGTCCAAAGAATCTAAGATAGGCAAATCAACAAGAGGCCTTTTTTGGTAACTGCCTCAGTTATAATAACCCCAAACAGACTTGGGGTGAGTGTGGGAGGCAATCAGTCCCAGACTTTTGTTATAACAAACAAACCCATCTTTCACTTCTTGTCATTAGCGATTACTGTGCCATAACTGAAAATCAGTGAATCACTATGGAGCTTAGTGAGGGAGGGCCTACCAGCTCTGAGCTGTCACTGTAATCATCACACAATGAACAAACCGTATGGGGAGTGCTTTCTTCATCATCTCTGACCTATACATTGCAGAGACTCTAAAAGAAATGATACTCTGTAATCCCCCTCTTTCCCTAAAGATGGCATATTATTTCAGAGCATTTTCCCCTTCAAAGCTTTGCTTTTTCTCTTCTTCAACAGCCCACATGAGGCCCGCACCAGAAGACTTCAACATAATTTAGGAGAATCTATTTGTAGGAGCCAAGAATTCAATTAGGAGAAAAATTATCTCGCCAGGGTCTGGGCCATGTAGTCAATTAACCCTCTCACAACCGTGCTGAGAAAAGAACTGAAATGTCTAACAAAAGGCTTCCCCGTCACAAGGCACAGGCGGGGGTGGGGGGAGGGATGCCAGAAACCTGGGTGCTTCCTGCCATGCTGTGCCCTTAGCAAAACCACCCTCTCGCTGTGACCTCCCCGCACAGCTAGAGGGTGCAGATCTCTGCTCTGCAAGGGGCTCCAGAACTGGACCACACAAGTCTCACGCTAAAACAATGACCTTAACAACGTCTAAGTTTATAGACTCAAAGTCGTCAACAGCAGCACTGTTGAACTTTCTGTGCGTAAGCTCTATTTCCATGATGAAAGTTTCACTCTGTAACGAATAGGAAGCAAGACCACTGGCGCTGGCGTGGGAGACCTTGTGCCCTGCTATCTGTTCCCAAGCCACATTTTCTTGCCCATCCCGACACCCGCTACGGCTGACCTGCCAGTGGGGGACTCACCTGGGTGGCTTCCTCCACGCTCTCCCTCAGGGCCTGCAGCTCGGCGTCGTACTGCTCCTTCAGCTTCTCCATCTCCTGGTCGTGACTGGAAACCTCTTCTTTCAGGGCTCCCTTCAGGGCGGTGAGTTCCCGCTCCCGCTTCCTCAGGAGGTCTTCCTGCTCCTCTTTGGCGATAAGCAGATCTTGAAGGTCCTGCTTGGCCTGTAAGAGTTCCTAAAGGGAGGAAGCGTGACAGGAGGTGAAGATGAGCCACTATGTACAGCAGCCCCGCTTCTCTCCTCCAGTTCAGCCACTCAGAAGAGCGGCCATCACCCCACTGTCCCTTCCCTCACACTGCGCACCGACTGGACCATCTCCCCTCCCTTCCACTCCTCAGAGGCCATCATTCCCCTTCATTTGACGAAAGCTCAGCCTTGAGATTTGAGGGAGAAAGGGCAACTGACTTAATTTTCATTGCTTTGAGGGGACATGTCTGACTTTTCCATCTCACTTCATGTCTGGGCCATGGTCTGTGGCCCTTGCTAATGGGCTTGCTGCCCTCACTGACTTCACACCCCACTGGAACCCTTAACCCATGATCCCAGTCCTGTCCCAGTCTCCTTCCACCTGAGCAGGGCAAAGGATTCACATTTCTCTAAGCTGCTCAAAGTTCATAGGAGTCACAAAACTGGGGCAACAAGTTCCACTACAAATCACATTACCTAAACCCGAGTGTGTTCTGCCAAAAGCTCAGCAGGCATTCCTTTTGCGTTGCCATCTTCACCCCAGACCTGCTCAGCTCTCCTCAAGCTCAGAGCCCACCCTCTCCTGCAGACTCCCTTCCTTCAACCGGGCGGGACTTGGGCATGACCAGCTCAGCTTCTGCTCTCCCCAGTTCTTGAACTTCAAGCTTCTCCCCAACAACAAAGCCACTTGGCAGTGAGCTGCCCCTTGCCAGCCCGCTCCAAGTCCTTACTCTATCAGCTATCTCCCCCCCCCCCCCGACATTTTGTTCCTTTCTGTTTCTGGGCATCTATGTCCTTTCCTTCAGGGCACAAGAATCCTCTGAGTCAAGGGCAAAGAAACAAAAACAAAAATATAAAAGTTTTACCACCAAATATTTTTTTCTGTTTTTAATTTTAGAAAGAGGAGGGAGAGGAGGAGGGGGGGAGAGAGGGGGGGGGGAGAGAGAGAGAGAGAGAGAGAGAGAGAGAGAGAGAGAGAGAGAGAGAGACATCGATGTGAGAGTGAAACTGATCAGCTGCCTCCTGTACGCACCCAGACAAAGATCAAACCAGCAACCTGGGTATGTGTCCTGACGGGGAATTGAACCATGACCTCTCAGGGTATGGGACAACACGCCAACCAACTGAGCCACACCAGCCAGGGCTAGTACCAAACTTTTTGAAAGTATAATTTCTGTTCACTGCCTCTACTTCTTGAGCACCTTACTACTAGTCACTCCTGAATCTCTTGCTATGGCTTTTGTTCCTACTGTACCCAGACTGCCCCCTCCAAGGTCACAGTGACCTCTTACTCACCACATCCAATGGCCCCTTCTCAGTCCTCACTTTTCTTGACCTTCTTTGATCCTCCCCACCTGTCTCCTTAAAATTTCTTATGCCTTGCAGTTCAAAGATACTATACTCTCCTGTTTTCTTCCCTCAGGTCATTTTTTCTGTGACAATCTTTTCTGGCTATTCTCTCCCTCTTCCCCAAAGCTAAGATGATCCCCAAGAATGCACCTTTGCATTCTTTTTTTTTTTTTTGGCAAGTTCATCTATTTTTCTCCAACTATTAAGTCTATATAAATAACTCCCAAAGCTTTACCTCCAATTCTTCATCTGAATTCAGACCTGCACTTCCAATAACCTGCTAGATTGTCCCAAGGGCACCTCAGATTCAATAGGTTTGTGTTTTTTATCATATTCCTTCCTTTCCACTTCCTTTGCTCGTTACTCTTGCGAAGGCACCACCTGCTCAGAAGCTTGGCAGCAACCTGACCAACCTCACCCTTGTCCCCCATCAACAAAAAGTTGGTTCTGTAACATCTTTGATCCTTTCCCTCACCTCCCTGATTTAGACTCTCATTACCTCCTACCCAGGTGGTTTGCAATAGCCAACCAACTGCTCCCCACATCTAGTCTCTCACCTGTGGCCTCCATGACATTAGCCACAGGCTTCCTCTTTCTGAAGTGCCCTTCTCAGTCCCACCTCCCTCTGCCTTTCAGAAAAATCTCTGAAGACTCATACAATACTGACCTCCTCCAAGAAGTCTTCCTTGAATGCCCTCCCTGAATACCCATCTCACTTTGGCTGTACTTACCACAGCACTTAACACTTTTACTTTGCAGTCCACATATTTATTTTCTTATCGCCTGTTAGACATTCAGCATCTGATTTACTATATCTTAGATGCATGGATCAATGGTATCGGGAATGTGTCTGTTCTGGATATAAATAAATTAACATGTACAGTACAGCGGGAGTCTAGAGATACCAGAATGGTTGGTACTGGGGACCCGAGACCTCAGAGAAAAGGTACTTTCCATTCAAGAAGTGTCACTGGTGAGGGGTAAAAATACTCCTATTGACCTAAGTATAACTGCCAATGGAATCTCTGTCCTTTCCTTTACGACATGCACATCCATTGAACCAAGGGAACCTCTGCAGTCTCAGGGTAGAGCTGCATTGCACAGAGCAAGATGTAGCTCTTCAGGAATCCAGCTTACAGGCATTGATAAGCTCAGATGAAACATCAAGGGATTCATCCAGGTAGCTAAGGTAACTCTGGCTCTTCCAAAGCACCCAACACAGAGCAGAAGCAAATCTTATGAAAATATAAGCCGTCCTGGTCCTGATATTTATCAAAGGGCAAGTCCTGCTGCTGCCACCGCCCACCCCTCCTCAGGGAGCAGCAGAGACTCCGCCATCACTGCTGCTATTGGCTCCCGGCAGGTCTTCCTGGAGCCTCCCGCCAGCCTCTGCATCCGAGCTCCTGTGAATCTAACCCGTTTCCTGCTCTTACTCTCACACGTTTCTCAATTGTTTTCGAGATAAGGCAGTTCCTCTTCCCACACTTATCTTTTCCAGGATGTGTCTGTGTTTTTGAGTTGCCTTTTGTGCACTGCCGCCAATGCATGCTAAGAACCTCGGCTTTCTGGTCTATGCTACACCCACAAGCTGCTATCTGCGGCTGGGCTGCTGCTTAAGTGGATTGTGCTGCAGGAAACCAATCAGATTACACCTCACCATAGCACTTAGAGCACTTGACGTTTTCCAGGGCAGAGACCAAAGAGCACAGGAGATTTCAAAAACATCACTTCATCAACTCAGTGGCTTGACTGACAATTCTATCAAGCCAAAGAATGGAGAGATAACATGTAAACTTCAAAATATAAGTCAACACCCATTAGAAATGAACGTGCCTCTCTACAGACTCCAATCAAAGAAAACAAGGGAAGACACTGGCCGCTCAGAATCAGTGCATTCTAAACCTAGGTCAGTTACACACAGTAAAGCAGCCAGGAGATGAAAACCATGTATATGTGTGTGTGTGCGGGTGCAGGAGACTATAAAGCTGGCTGTGTGTAGTACTTACTACATAATAGGACTTGTGCTAAACATTCCCAAACTAAAGCAAAGAAATAGGCTCTTCCAAAAAGACAAGAAGGAAGGAAAATTGAGAGAAAAAGGAAGTACGCTCTGGGACTGGCTGTCCTGACAACAGGTGCACGAAGACACACACACACCAGAACGCCCAATGCAGCAACTGACTTGCTCACTGCACGCTCTAACTCACATGCCACCTATTCATAGGGATTCCGTGTCAAAATGAGAAAAACACTGATCTAAGCCCTCTTCTGCATAAATGCTTCCCAACCGTTCTATAAGATCCCTATCTCTGGCCCATGTTCAATTACAGGGTGAGTAAATGGTTTTAGATCAAGACTGTAGCTGACAGAAAAGTATGCAATTTTTTCCAGAACGATGGCCTATAAAATGTAACAGGGTTGGTGAGAAACATGAATTTTTTTAGTTGTTTTATTAAAATTCCTATGATGTTCAGTAATATTTCTGAGAACAGCCTATCCCCAGATCAATACAATGTCATAACCAGCACATTTTACTGGTACGTAAAGGACTTGCATGTTGGCAAAGGCCGGGGATAAAACACGCGGCTGCTGGAGAGAGGCCCAGCTGTCAGCACTGCAGGCTCCCATCAAAGATGATGGTCAGTAATTAGAAAATTCCACTGCCCTGGCACTTAGAAAGACGGCGCATGTGTACCCATTTCCCCCGGAATGGAGGAAAACACATTTTTGGACAAAGAAGTGGCAAAAAATTTGTTCTATGATCATTTTTTGTAACTTGAGTTAAAAACAAAATTTCAAAACCATCAGTTGTTTAAGAATAAAAAAAGTCATCCGATTGTTGGTCAATTGTATGGCTTATCCAGAGAAAACAGGATGATTTTCCTCTCTTTCTTTCTTCCTTTAAAAAAACTAATAACTACTGTATTCTTCCTTAATGTCGCTTTACTGGTTCCACATCGGGGCCCAATGTTATTGAACAAAATGGCAAGTCGTATTAGAAGAGATTTCATGCAAGTTCTTGTGCATTGGGCATCTCACGAAATACAGGGCCCTCAGCCTCTTTCAAACATTCAATACCACAATGTGTTCAATGTTCATTGTGTTTAAGAGTCTGTTCTAAGCCAAATGCCATGGAAAACTTGGCCCCAACTGTAACCTGTTATCAGATTCCCCGGGCCACTTCTGATTAAGAGATGAAGAAGAAACTGAAAGTGACAAGGAGATGGAGTCTATTTTATGATCATGTTTTAAATGTCACTGACAAGTCCAAGGAAACTCGTTTAAAACAGTGAGGATGATCTTCCAGAGGGAAAGAGCCCCACGTTGGTGTTCAGAAGCCAACTGTGCCCTCACTAACCTTGCAGATGGGCTGCAGTAGAGGATATATCTCCCATTACAGGAAAGACGCAACCAGAAAGCCAGAAACGTCAGGAACATTTTTTAAAAATATATATTTTATTGATTTTTTACAGAGAGGAAGGGAGAGGGATAGAGAGTTAGAAACATCACACCGATCAGCTGCCTCCTGCACACTCCCTACTGGGAATGTGCCCACAACCAAGGTACATGCCCTTGACCGGAATCGAACCTGAGACCCTTGAGTCCGTAAGCCGACGCTCTATCCGCTGAGCCAAATCAGCTAGGGCATCAGGAACATTTTTAAGAGAAGATGTGCTCTGTTTCCCTTTCCCATTCTCTCATTACCAGCCTCTCTCTGCCTGAAAACACATCACCCAAACTGAGGCATGTATCCTCCCCCTGGTTACCACTGCAAATTCACCGGTAAACTATTTAATTAAATCATATTCTTTGATAAAGAAGCAAGGAAGAAGATAGCTCATTTCAAATATATTCCTTTTTTAAAATGGTAACATTTTTTAAAATATATTTTTATTGATTTCAGAGAGGAAGGGAGAGGGAGAGAAAGATAGAAACATCAATGATGAGAGAGAATCACTGATTGGCTGCCTCCTGCAGGCCCCACATTGGGGATCAAACCCGAAACCCGGGCATGTGCCCTGACCGGGAACCAAACCTGGTTCATCGATCAACGCTCAACCACTGAGTCACGCCAGCTAGGCTAAAATGGTAACATTTTAAAAATAATTTTGAGCCCTGACTGGTTTGGCTCAGTGGATAGAGCGTCGGCCTCCGGACTGAAGGGTCCCAGGTTCGATTCCAGTCAAGGGCATGTACCTTGGTTGTGGGTACATTCCCAGTAGGGTGCATGCAGGAGGCAGCTGATCCATGTTTCTCTCTCATCGATGTTTCTAGCTCTCTATCCTTCTCCCTTCCTCTCTGTAAAAAATCAATAAAATATATATTTTTAAAAATAATAATAATTTTGATACTGAAATCACTTTATTCATTTGCTCTGTTGCTTGGCATGAAATGGGGGAAGATGCAAAGACGAAATGGTATTGACTTAGCTGTCTAGAAGAAAGAGAGACAAAAATAGGACAAGGTCAAATGTGCTAAAATAAAGAATTTAAAAGGATAGAGGGTATTATGGAAAAGGGAAAATAACAATTATATGTCAGTTACTGGGAAAATTCAGCAACTTAAGGGACTTCCCTATAGCTAAGATAACATCTTTCCCTTTTCAAATCAGTCAAGTGTCCACACAAGGGATCATGAAATATGGCAACGTTTTACCTTCTATTTAAATTTGTTTGTGAAGCTACCATTTTTATTGAAAGCCAGAAACTGTACAATGACATCATTTCTGGGAAATTATCCTTAGGATATTTTTCCAAAAAGTACAAGGATACATGTAAAAAATGTTCACCATATTTTCTCATAATTAAAAGAAATAATTTAAGCATAGGAGAATAATTAAATATATTGTGGTTTTATCTCCTTAAAAATGAAATATAAATAAAGACTATAAGGTATAACAAGGGAAAATGTTTCTGACATTAACTTTTAAAAGCAGATACCAAAACTGTAGGGACACTATAATTGTCCCTACATTATAGGCAGGGAGATGAAACCCAGCAATGGGTAGGGAGGCAAACAGAAAATGTAGAAATAAAAATCGTTGTTAAGATGTTAGGAAAATAAGTATTTTTCCACCAACCCACCCACCCCCATTTTAAAATTTCATTTTGTGGTTTTAATAATATTTCAGTGATAAATTCACACATGCTCAAAGCTGCATTCTAATACCCTTGTCTTTGTAACTCTGAGCCCTGAGAAAAAGACAGAGCCATGATACCATGAATACCATGTATAATACCATGAATATGGTGGCTTTTAAGAAATCCTTGGATAAAAAGAGAAATACCAGGTGGTAGGAAAGAAGACTAAAGCCTTCTCAGGAGAAAAGGTCTAAACAGAGAGAGAGAGAGATGGTCGTGTGGGGAGAAATGATTCTGCTCTGTAACCATGTGAAAATGCATTCACGAGAACCCCTGTGCTGTGTGGTCACAGGGCTCAGCTCTGCCAAGTCATGGGGAAGAGGGAGGCTTACTTCTAAAGGGCAGGACCTAAAATCCTTCCGGGGGAATTACTTCAAAACCAAACAAGGAAGGGGTGAGAAAACAATTGACAGAGGAGACTTAACAAGGAACTAAAGCCAGCAGCTTTTAACCCCAAGAACGGGTCAAAGAAAGACTCAGCCCTGGGGGAAAGCAATAGAAAATAAAAATTCAATACTAACAAGGTACCTTTCTTCTTTCTTTCTTTTTTTTTTTTTTTGCTTTGTTCTAAATTGTGTCATTTATTTTTTGAACTGTTCCTACAAAACAAAGATTATTATGGAAATAAATTTCAAAACTATGCCAAAAATGCAGATGGTAATGTTATAGCAAATATCAAAACATCTAAATGGGCACTTGTGTATTTTTGTGACTCTCAATTAGACTCACTCCCCCCAAAAATGTAGATGTTCAAAACCTATTCTTGCTCTCTAATCACTTTTATATGTGTGTATCTAATACCTCAACAAGACGGTAATCTAATCCAGGAGGAAAAAATAACTGTCTTTGTAAAACCCCATAATAATTAACAAATGCTAAGCAGAGGAAAGAGTCGATCTTATCCGCTTGCTCACTGATTGATAGAGCTAAATATTTAATAGGGGGTATACTAATACGGGCAGAGGCCAGATGGGCAGCCTGTGTCACAGCAAACAGATTCATTCATTCACTTACAAACTCATAACTGATCCATCCAACCAACCCCCAAATATTTACTGAGTGCTATGTGTCCCAAGCTCTGGGATAAAATGCTGAGCCCCATCACCAACCCTGCCCTCCTGGAGCTTACAGTCTTGTGGGCCTTAAACAAAAACTTAACCTGTGCTAAGTGTTGTATGGGCATTAATGTATTTTCCATGCTTTCCCATAAATAGCATTACTTACAAAGTATTTTTGCCCAAAGTTTAATCTAAATCTATTAGAGTAGAGATCTAAATACAAATCTACTAGAATATAGCGGATAGTGGAACACCATAATGGACACCATAAGGAAATAATCAGACAAATCAAAGGGGCACTGGCCTAATCTCGTCAGAAGATGGATGGGATGGGAGGAGAAAAGCAGGCCGTAGGGAATGAGGGGGAAGGGTGCTATACCGGGATAAATGGAAACAGTGACAGCAATGTGGGATTCCTGATTGGATCCTGGCTGGGAGGTGGGGGAATACAACCATAAAATATGCCTGGAGGACAAGCGGAAAATTTTGAATGAGGGCCCACGTATTAGAATTCTTGTTATATTGTATATATATTATAGGAATTATTAAATTTTTTAGGTGTTATAATAGTATTGTGGTTGTAAGAAAATTCCATAATTTTCAAAGATGTGTGCTTGAGAATTTAGGCGTGAGGCATGGTGTTATCTATAATTTGCTTTGAAATAGTTCAGCAAAGATGGATAAATTGATGCATGAAAAAAATAGAAGAATGAACGGATGGACATGAATAAGTGGAGATAATATCACAAAATGTTGCCAACTGTTGGATCTGGGTTGGAGCTCTGTGGAAGTTACTGCAGTACCCTGTCTACTTTTCTGTATGGTGGAAGTTTTCCTAAGACAATGTTTAAAAACTATTACACGTGACGCTCTTACAGAATCTAACCACAGGCACAGGTGTGGTAAATGCACAAAACAGAATATGGCTCAGGGTACTCAGTCCCCATCCCACCTCCGCCATCTCACCCTCTTCAGGCAGATGGGGCCTATCTTGTCACCTGACCCCACCGGCCCCTTACCTCAATCAGAGCCCCCTTCTCCCTGTCCTCGGACCGTTTGGCGCTGTCCAGTTCATCATGCATTTCCGAGAGCTGGTCCTGGAGATCCCTGATCTCCGTCTGGTGCTGTTCCCGTTCCATCTTTACCTGAAACAGCCTGACAAGAAGGAGTCCCTCAGACAGACCTCGGGCTCTGCTGACGTTCATCCCATCTGACTGCAGACCTCCAGATGCTCAAGCAGAGTCATCTAAAGCCCCAAGAAGCCTCCCACTCTCCCCGCTCCACATCCCCCCACCCCCAGGACTGTAGACCAGAAGAGTCAGCAAATTATGACCTATGGGCCAATCTGGCCCACTGCCCATTTTTATAAATAAAGTTTTATTGGAATACAGCCATGCTCATTCTTTTATATATTGCTTACAGTCATTTGCACAATACAATGGCAGAATTGAGAGGTTCCAACAAAGACCATATGGCCCATAACTGTAAAGTATTTACTATCTGACAAAAGTTTGGCAACCTCTGCTCGAAATCAAATTCACAACGATTCTACCTTGTTATACTGTAAAGTCTTTACTACCCCCTAAACTTTCTGATTGTTTTCTTACCAACTTCTTTTCTAAAATTAACCTCTAAGAATGTCTTAAAAGCGAAAACTACACCATCAAAATTGCCAAGGCAATTAAATGCTTTTATTACGTAATGTCCTATTTTTCTTGAATTTCCCTCCAAATTTCACTCCTGTTCTAACCTTCACTTAAAGTTTCCATCGTGTCCACAGGGCTTCTTAGCACTGCACCCTTTCTGACCTCAGTTTCAGATCTCTTTTGCACAGATTTTAAGACACGGCCACAGTGACACGGCCACCGGGCTTGACTTGCCATCTCTACAGACGCAACAGAAATATAAGCACAGGTCACAGAGTCCAGCACCATCCAGGATAGAATCCACAAACCGGGAGATTATGGAGGTCTCGTGACGTGCTTTTTGGAGGCTGGGCCCAGGCCCCTTGAAATCTCAGTCCTGAGATATCACCACTCCGCATTCCCTGCTTCTCACTTACCTACTATAGACCCACTCTAAGGGCTGAAACTTTACAAGACATCTTTAAGGTGTACGAATTTTAAAATTATTAACCTTTCTGCTTACCAGGGAGAAAAGGAAGAGGGAGCAGCCGCTGTAAATATTTGGAAGACCAGGTAGTACTAAATGGACAAAAAGGTTCTGGCCACATCAGATGAAGAACCAGGAAGGACAGGCTCTCGGCCCAGGACTTACTCCTCCAGGCTTTTCCGGAGCTCCCCCTCACTCTCTTCCAGCCGCCGCTGCAGCACCGAGTTCTCTTTCTCCTTGTGGTCGTGTTGGCTCTGGAGCTCTTCTAAGTTTGCTTTCATTCTCTCTCTCTCTTCTTTGATGTTCTGTTGATTCTAATATGAACACATGTGATTTTAGAGTACCTCCACCGTACATTTATGTTATGCTGAAACTTTACAAGACATCCTTCTAAACTCTGATGGACTCCATGTCTTTGCACTTACAGTATTAATTATTAGTGATGTCATTAATTATTAATCAAACTACTTAATTAAGGCATAGTTGTGTGTGACTAGAAACAATATTACATATTTAATGAGTTGTAATACTTTTAAAAGAGAAACAAACACAGCTAAACCTTACTGTACTATTTCAATTACTCAGTTCCAATATTTTATAAGCATTTCGTTTTCTACTGGCCTGACTGAATCCAACAGTGATTCTTTTTCTCTGTCAAAGCAAACAGTCGCGATATGCTTTGGGTTGTTTGTTGTTGTTGTTGTTTTAAGTTCTTTGGTCAGTAGGAGCCAAATATACAGGGATTTACTTCTGTGATGAGAGGAATGTTTCTTTTTTGGGGGGAATATTGGCTTTCAATTCACTTGGGCATCCCAAGGTACTTAAAATATTCTTTACCAATCAAGAAGGAAATGAAAAAAATAACTGAGGAAAAATCAGATACCTTGACTTCCAGTTGAAGCTGTCTCTGAAGTTCAGCCACTTCTGTGGTCAACTTGGTTTTTTGTTCCAACAGATCTTTGACTTCAGACGAAGAGTTAGAAGCCTACAGTTAATTGCAAAGATATATGCATTGAAATTTTCAGGATGATTTATTTTCATTCTCTTTTCCCCAAAACATAATCAGAGCAGTAACTCTAAAATCTTAAGATTCCAATGTAGATCCCTACAGAGAAGGGGCATGAGGAAACCTTCTGGGGTGATGGGAGTACCCTGTATCTTGATCTGGGTGGTGCTTGCATTTGAACTATGCAGTTAAGATTTGTGCAATTTACTGTAAGTTATACCCAATAAAACAATGTAAAAGATAAAAATAAGTATTTGTGAAGATTCATCTATTGCATAAAATAATACCCAAAGCCCATGTCTCTGTGTTCCCAAGGCCCTTTGTGTAAAAATCTATTACAAACTTTTCATTAGATTGGGAATTACTGCTCCATCACCATCAATGATATTTTTATCCCTCACTCTGTATATGCCTGGATGCAAGCAGTAAATAACTGTAAGCTGGCTAAACTGGCTGTCTTCTTTTAGATGTCACATTTCCATAATGGAGAGAGAGAGAATGAAGAGGGATCTGATTAAAGAGTCTATTAGGAAGCATCTCTGATTGAGTATGAATATTAATGGATCTCATTTTTTTCCTCCATGGATGTAATAATAGGATGATGTTCTCAAAAGGATTTGGCTAAAAAACTATAGCAAAGTGGTTGGAAAACTACATGGCGGGGAAAGGGGATAAAAGCAGGAATCAAAGCTGGAAAAGGCAGTGACTTGGCCCTCATGCATCTGAATCCAGGTGTGAGTTGTGCCTGATGAACCTGGAAAGCGGTATTTCCTCACTTACTCCTGTGAAGTTAACCAGAGCCCCCAGTCAACAAAAACACAGGACTTCCCATTCTCTCAGACAAAATGAGAACAGTCCGTTTTAGAAATCTAAACCCGACCCACGAGGGAACTTGCACACGCTCCTTCCCGAGCAAAACCCCTGCCTGCTTTGCTGTCGTTTCCCAAGATGTTCTCAGTCCACAGGGGAGAGGGTCCTACATTCCCTCACAGAAAATCACTTAACTGGCCTTTGCCAGCGAATAATCAGATTCAGAAAGTAACAGGGAGGCAGAGGGAGTAGGAAAACATGGGCAATTAAGCCGTCAGGGCACTGCGATCGGAGCCAGAAGTCTAAGGGCCTTAGCTCACCTTACCACCTCGCACTTGATTCCCAGTGCTTCTTAACTGGTCTCCCCTCCTCTGCTCTCACCTCTTTCAGAAAGCTACAACAGGAATGAATTCTTAGGAATATGGCGCTATTCATTCCTGTGTAAAGTCCATCAGTGGTGGCCCATCACCTTTGGTCTGAAATGGAAACTTCTTATGCGATTTCTGAGGTTTTCCTACCTGGTGCTTCGTCCCCACGTGCTCTCTGCTCCAGCTACACAAAATTACCTCCATCCCCTAAACATACCTAACACATGCCTCTTTACATTTTATATTTGCTTGTGCCATTCCCTCTACCTACAACGCCCTTCCCTTCCTTCAGAGATTTCTATAATCTTGTGAGACACCATTAGTGTTAGTGACTCCAGAAGGGCTACCCTGATACCCCTAGTCTGTGACCCACAATGACAATCTTAACATCAAGACCAAAGCATGTCAAAACAAAAAAGGCCAAAGGATATATTCCCCCTAAGAATATGCAGGCAAATGAAAAGCAAGAGTCAGAGTGATAATTTGGATTTAAGACTTTTAGCAAAAAAAATCCTAAGCTAATTTTAAGAACTACATAGCACTCCTGAAACAAAGTGTATAATCTAAAAATTCCCCAGTGGGAACAGTTAATATATTTATACTACCATAAATATTATATATAGGTGTGGGCAAAAGTGGGTTTACAGTTGTGAGTATATGTTTATTCTTGTATTATTATTTATTATTGTATTTTCCATACAAACAATTGTAAACTGACTTTTGCCCACTCCTGTTTGTATGTGTGTATATATGTACATATATATGTGTATATATATATGTGTATACATATGCATACACACATACATACACATAAATATACACATACATGCACATATACATATATATCTCTATTTGATGGAGAGCAGCAGTCATGGGTTAGCTGAGTGCTAGGGGAACACTGAGCAATAGAGAAAAGGTAGTAGTTGATGCCTAAAAATGTCCTCTATCCAATTTTTCCAACATTGAAAAGAAGCTATAGACAAACTTCCTGTTACCTGCCTCTGGGTAGCCTCTCTTTGCTGCCTTTGCAGAATTCCCCTGGGAGGAGAAAGTAAAGACGCACAAGCAAGAAATGGGTCCCAATGCACAGTGGCGTACGGAGGAACAAGTGTTCAGTCGTCTCCCTTAAATGCTACTTCCTTTCAGGGTACAAGGTGTGTGCGACATATAGCAGATGTTCATCAATTATGAGACGAATCCTTTTTTAACAAAAGCAATCTCCAAGTCCCAACTCGAATTCAGTACAATCAGTTAAACAGACAGTTTTTTAAAAGAGTTTGGCACCACTCCACTCCTTCCTTTCCCTTCCACCGATGCTGGTTGGCTTCAGCTGTCTCTATTCCCTAGTTTCTTGTTCTTATTCTTATTTCTTACTCTCTGAAGTTCCAAAGTTTGGGGCCGTCAGTTCACACCAACCTTCCAAATCTGCCTATGAAATCTATCCATTAATTTGCTTAGTTCTTTCTATTCTTATTTCCTCTTTCTAAATTTGTTTCATCCTATTATGTGTTTTTTTTTAATAAAATATCTTAAAAACCTTTCTGGAAAAGAGAGGCAGAGTATAAATTCATAACATGTGAAACGAGATCTCCCATCTCAGGTCCAGCTCATTCCTCAGGAAACTTCCCATTTGGTGCCATAACCAATTGTACAGACTGAAGAAACAGCCATTTGCCTGCCACATCCCATGTTAAATGCCCTCTGCAAGATACAAAACCTCAACTTACTTGGTGACTTCCTTGTGCGCTCCCTGCCGCTCGAGACTTTAAAGTCTGGATTTTCTCAAAGACCAGGTTGACTTTCCTTTTAGTGGCATCATCATTATCGGTGCTTCTGGAAAAGAGGCAAAGGAAAAACAACAGTGAAGGGCAACCACTGGCCCCAGGATATTTTATGTGCCCTGACACACAGGCAAGCCCTTTAAGAAGACAAACTGCAAGGGGCATGATTTTTTTTTTTTACAAAACCAGTGTTAAAAGAGCAGGGTGGATGGTGTATTTTTTCGTCAAATAAATTGTCCTATGTTACCACTCAATTTGAGACAGGGGTTCCCACTTCCAAACATGAAAGAGACATAGCAACATTCTAAATGAGCTTGGAGAACACATCCAGTGAAAATGTAGTAATTTGCTGTTTGATTCAAATGAATTACATTCATTCCAACAAGGGATTTTTCCTCTGTGTGTGTCTCACACACACATACATTTTTACCTTTAAATCTTATGCTTAAGAATGATCCGCAGTGATCTTAACTTGGTCAGCCTATGTCTAAAGAACAAATCCCCAAGCTAAGACTGTCAACACAGCAGCCCTCTGTCTAGACTTTGACAGGTAATAATTGGCTGAAGTCTTATTAACCTCAACCACGTCTTCTATCACACATACCTGACAATTAGGGGGGAAAAATAGTTTTTTAATAAGTTTCCTTAAATAGGTGCCTCCCACTAAAGTCTGTCTCAAATCATGAACCAAAAAAAATAATTTAGAGAATTTTAAAAATCAAAAGTTCTTCTACTTTAACCTTAACATGGTAAAACCCATCACAGAGAGGCACTAATAACTTAGCTAGAAGAATATAAGTATCTCTTTGGTTACTGTTGTTTTTTCATTCCAAAAGAGCCCTTATCTTATAGTTTGAACCTGACCACTTTGTCAGGTCTACTATTACTGACAAATAATTGTAAGGCTCAATACAAAAAAAAAACAAAAACCACACAGTGTTTTGATACCAGTGAGTATTTGCCACGTGACTTCCAGTCATGTCAGACTGTAACGCTTTTTCTCTTTTTAATCACATCTGATGAGAGAACTGAAACAGGAACCTCGAATTCCTGACCTGGAATTCCAGCGCCATCGGTATCTGAGTAAGGAGTGAAACCAGATTACGCACTCAACCTCCAAGATAAGTATGTGGCAAGCACTGCTTTTAAGTGACTCATACGTGCTTTAAAAATACTGGAAGCAGGGGCTCCTGCCAATGTCAACTCTGGGGAGGGAAGGAGATGTTTTTATTTGTAACTTCTAATAAGGGGTGATTGAACTAAGGTGACAGCAGACTTCATTCAAAACTGGACAACAGACATCCTTGCTGTCTTTCGTTTTTTAACAACAAATTCAGTATAGTCATTTTTAAAAATACATTCAATTTTTAAAGTACAATATCATTCCCTATACTCCCCTTGCCTGATCTTCACTTCCCACCACCCAAGATTTAAATGAATGCTGCTGTGAAAACTCCAGCCATTGAATCTTAACCCTCCGATGGCTCACACAGGGCAGCGAGGGAGGGGGCAAAGCAGAAGGTCCCAGAAAAGGAAATGAAGAGCCCCACAGAAATGACAGTATTTTGCTCCTTTAAGGAAAAGCACTGACCCTTCCTTGAGGTAATTGTAGAGGATCTGCTTGGCCGTCTCCTCGTTGGTTTGCTGAGTGAGCTCCTGCTGGCCTTTTAACAGGTCCGGCGTGGCCTGGAACAGAGGGCGTCATTAGATCCCTGGAGACTGAGACGGTGTTTCCAGGCAGGAGGCGAAACCCGGAAGCAGGAGCTTCCAAACACATTCCTACTTTCCAAAAGTGATTCCTCAGGTAAGGATCCTCATTACAGCTGGCTCTACCACTTGGTTAGTAGCTCTGTAACCTTGAGTAAGTTACTTAACTTCCTCACCTCAATTTTCTCACCTGTAAATTGAGGTTAATAGGACTTGCCTTCACAGGGTTGGTGCCCATCTATAACATATGACAAATAGTCCTGACACTTACTAACCTTATTGTCATTTTTATCATTATCATTAATGTTTTTACTGTGTCTAGCAAAACACTAAATGTACCACTTAAATAAATTCCATCACTAGGGTTAAGCTTAAATTAGGATTAACCTACTTTCTCAGGCCAGAAATTAGCCCAGTCACTCAAATTCATGAGGATAATTAACACATCTACACAAACCTAAGCACCCAACCTCTGTGTGGAAACACATTCCACCTCCTTTCTGATTTCACATCCATACGAAAGGTAAAGGCGAACCTCTCTATAGTGTTTGACAAATTACTTTATAGACAAGACCCCAGTGGAAATCTAACTGTACTTGAATTAACTTAGAAAACCATACAATCAGCAGCAGGACATATCTTTAGGAAAAACTTTTTAAAATCCACGTGTGCCCTGGCCCATGTGGCTCAGTTAATTGATGCACTGAAAGGTTGCCTGTTCCATTCCCGGTCAGGGCACATGGCCAGGTTTCCTGTCACATCACATCGATGTTTCTCTCTCTCTCCTCCTCTCCCTTTCTCTCTCTAAAAAATACAATACAAAATATTTTTTAAAAAATCTATGTGCAATCACCCACTCCAGATGCAGGTATATATTGCTCTAGCCTCCCGTAGCATGAGGCTGCAGGAATTTTAAAAAAGGGGGGGGCGGGGAGCCACCCTAGTATTACCTGGGTATTTGAGGTGGACGCAAATGTCTTCACAGAAATCTTCTTGGCACCAGAGTCAGGCGACGCGGCTCGCCCGCGGTTCTGTAACATCAGCGTAGCAGTGGCCGTTTTGATTTCCTCCTCCTTTTTCTGCGCTGGGAGGGAGGATGCACGCGCCGGGCTACTTTCCTGGCCACCTTTGCTCTCCAGAGCTTTCCCATCTCTGCTCTGCTGGGGAGGCCTCGGGGGGGCCCCCTGCGGCTTGGCGGAGGCGTGCCCCGCGCTCTGTCTCCCGCGGGGGTGCTCCGGGGCCTGCGGCCGCTGCGGACACACCTGCGAGGGGCGCAGGAGGTGCTCGCTGGACTTGCCCAGGTTCCTGCTGAACTCGGTCAGGTACTCCGAGTTCCCCTGGAGGCCGAAGGGAAAGGCGCTGTCCACGCTCCGGGACCTCTTCCTGTCTTCGGGGTGGATTCTGTTTCGCCTCCCAGACCTGCCCCTTCTCTGCAGCCCAGGTTTTTGGTCGAATTTTTCGATCAACTGATCCACGCCAGGCATCGATCCCGTATCGATATCCCGCCCGGTTCCTGGCAAGAAGGGGATATACCTTCTGTTTTCATGCCGATTCACATTGTCAGCGTGGAGGGCACATTCCTGGTCATCCAGTAAAAAGCGGTACAAGGAGTTGGCCGAGGTGGGCGTCGTGGACGTGGAGGAGGACCTCCGGGAGCGCGCTCCGTCCAGGACGGCACCCGCGGAGTCTTGGCGCCGGAAGGGAAGCACATCCGGCCTGGTTTTCTTGGCTTCGGGGTGGGGGTGCGGGCCGAGGGCAGGTGGGGGCCTCCCGCCCGGGGAGGGGGCCTCCGCCGCCGCCGGCCCCTGCTTGGCGCAGCTCTGCACATTCACGCACACGGAGGTCTGCTTCTTGGGGTCATCGATGACCACCGAGCTGCATAAGCGAATGGCCGTCACGTTGGACTTGGCCAGCTCTTCCAGAGGAGGGCTGGCGGGCTGGGAACGACTGGGTTTGGAAAAGTAAGTCCAGCCCTTCTTACTGTTGGTGCCTTCTTCTGTTAGGGTCTGTAGCCAGTTACCCTGAGCAGGTTGGTGGTTGTGTAAGTTCAACTCATTCTTCTCAGGGTCGTAGGGCTGCAACAGCTCGGGATGCCTCTGAAAGTTCAGCACCTGCGATGGCTTCCCGGGCCCCTCTTTGCATTCTAGAGCTCCATGCTTGGCCTCAAAGAGAGGGGGCTGCTTTGGGGTTCTCCCTGAGCTGGGTGGGGCATACGGGTTTTCTGGAAAGGGCAGCTCGTCCGCACTGTCCTCCTCTAGCCCAGCGCCGTTGCTGGGATGCACAGGCAGGTCATTTATCACTGGCGGTGGAAACGGCCCGTTTTCAGAAAAAGGTGTGCCTGGCAGGCAGCGCTCCGTGTTGTTCAGGACTATGTAGGGGTGGCCATCGATCCCCTGTACCCGAATACTGACCCCGTAGGAGCCTGCCTTAGGGTGCTGGGAATTCCTCAACTTTTTGGTTTCATCACTGGCGAGCCTCAGGTGGACACCGTATTCCTGCTGCACGTGTTGATATTCACCGAAGTACAGCTCCATGGCTCACTGCTCCCGCTACCAGGGAAAGATGGGGTAAAAGAGGACAGCACGTTAGAATTCATGAAGATTATGTGGGGAAACTTCAAAGTTCAGATAAAACAACACACTTTAAACAGCAAGGAAACTTCCAGAACCAAATGCTTGTCCAAGCAGGCCTTTCTGGATGCCCCCGGGCTCACGAGACCATGGTGTTTGCCAACACAGGGCTTAAACCCTGGCCTCGGGGTGGATGACTTGGTGTAATGATCTGAAGCCTTTGGCATAACTTCATGATTCTGTTTCTAGATGACCGGCTGTTCTGGTTGCTTCATTTTTCCCCCCTTAACTGGTTTCCTCACACTTCATGCCATTTATTTTTAACCAGTAGGGATATTCCAGTTACCGGCATGTGAAAACAAGGTATTTTTCCATGAACTTAATTAATAGTGTTCCGATGCTCACCACTTTTCTTTCTTTCTATACCGTTAATTTTTCTGTCAAAACAACCCTCTCCACCTTTTCAATGCATAATCCTGCTTTGAAATCTTTACCACTATTTATTTGGATAGACTGTTTGAAACATTTGAAACCTTAAGGAATGTTTTGAAAACAATTTCAATGATTTTTTTTCTTACTAAAAAAGATCAAGTAGCATATTGATTTGGAAAATGCTATAAAAAAACGGAAGACTCGGAGCTCTTTATTTTGGGATGGGTCCTAACGCCAAGAATCACTGCCTTCACCTATCTGGTGTGTGGCCACCCTTGCCAGAGGCTGCACCCCGATACCAGCGTGCCACACCGGAGGTTCTCACCAGAAATCCACTTCCCTCACACTGAAAAATCCAACAGCAAAGGAGATGCCAGAAGAGCAGTAAGAACTGGGCTCAGGTCAAGGCTGTCTCATGTCTTTCAATGTTACTAGTCTCTTTGAGTCTCTTTATATACTAGAGTCAATCTCATAGCATGTTTACCAAGAAAATTGCCTATTTGATCCACATTTTCAAAGTTATTTGCACAGTGTTGCAAAGTATAAATCATTTCATCTCTATATCTATTTTTCATGATCTAGTTTTGTTTACTTGTGCTTTCTTCACCTATTTCTTGATGATGCAGGTAAATACATGTGTCTATATATCTTTTAAATTATTGTTTTCCCGAAAGAACTAGCTCTTAGATTTAGCCTCTTTTTTTTTTTTCATTTTTCTAATTTATCGAGTTCCACTTTGAGCCTCATTTCTTTCTACTTTCCTTTATTTTGTTGTTTTTGTTTCCAATTTATTGATTTGCATGCTTCATTTGTTTCTTTTCATTCTTTAATTGCATTCCATAAATTGTGATATGTGAGTGTGTCAGGAATTTTATTGGTTCCTACTAATAAAGAGACCCAAAATAGCAACTTAAGGGTTAGAATTTTTTTTCCCTAAGAGGTAGGAAGTCCAGGCTGGAATGAATGGATCCCTGGATATTTTGGAGGAACACACCTTTTTTATCTTTCCACTCATCTTCCTTTAGGTGTATTGACACCTTCTGATTATAAAATGACTCATCAGTATCACATATGCTTACTAGACAGCTCAGTCAACCTTCATTTTAAGCTCTGCTGGAAGCCCCGCCCATCTATAATCCCTGGCATCTTATTGGTGAGAACTTACTCATATAGCCACCGCTCCACTGACTAAAAGGAGGCCTGTGTACAGGGATTTCAGCTGGTCAGTGACTCTCAACAAAATCAATATTCTGTTAGTAAGAAGAGAGAAAAGAATGGACACTGGCAAAGCAGCTCTCCACCAGAGTAATGTTCCCATTATTATTTTCTAGGTGGTTTCAATTTGTGGTTTTGATTTCTTCTTTGACACAAGAATTATTTTTGAGAAAGTTTTTTCATATCCAGCATGTCTGCTGTTGTGCTGTTTTGGCTTGGAGGGTCTTTATTTATATATGTTGTGCATTTCTACTTGCACTGTAGTCAGAAAATAAAGTCCATTTTTCTTTCTTTTAAAATGTATTAAACTGCACTGCCTGGCATGGCTCAGTGGTTAGAGTGTCGACCCTCCGGCCCTGGTTGGGGCGCATGTGGGAGGCAAGCAATGGATGTGTCTCTCACATCGATGTTTCTCTCTCTCTCTCTCGCGCCCCCCCCCCTTACTTCCACTCTCTTTAAAATCAATAGAAAAATAGAGGATACTCGGGTGAAGATTAACAACAACAAAAAATGTATTAAAGTTTCCTTTGTAGGCACATATATGGGTAATTTTTGTCAGTGTCAAATGGGTGCTGGGTGTAGTCTCTTTTTTAGGGCATGGCATTAAAAATATATCCATTAATACAACCTTACCAATTATTTAATTTAGCTATGGCTCATCCTTACTTGTATTGTCTTTCTGATTTGTCTTGGGTCCTCCTGGCTACATGTGTCTCCTACTAGCATGATGCTGTCAGTTCTGCTTGGCGATTATCCTTTTAAATGTAAAACATGTTAGACATCATCACCTAATGACTTCGAGAGGTACTTTCACCTGCAAAATTTGTCATTATCTCACAGATTCCAATTATTTCATTATGTCTACTTTCATTTTCATCAGTTATCAGTTACATTTTCAAATAATTTTATTTTGTAATCACAGCAAAATGAAATATAATGAAAACCTTGACTCTCCTCTTCCCCCCATCCCAATCACATTCTCCAGAGGAAACCAATTACACATTATCGCTGTTTCTTCTACTTACGTCCATGTTGCTGGGTACTGTGCCTCTTTCTTAATTTACCAGTTTTATATGCGGTAAATAATACAACATACATATGAATTTCTCATTCTGCTAGCTTCCCAATAACAAAATCAAGAGCCAACTCTTTATAGTATCATGGCTACATAAACAGTGTTCACCAAAAAGCCACATTGTAGACTCTTGTCATCTTTTCTTTCTTATAAAACTTTAACTTTTCTAGACTTAATAAGTCATTGCTATTTTTACTTGTCTTGTTTTCTGTACATCTATCCTTAGATCCTTTCATCAGCTGCATCACAACTGTTAGATACTTACTAGTCTTTAGTTCTATGAAATGTTCTTGTATTATTTCTATGAAGATGTTCAGAGAACCATTTATTTTGTTTTTATCTTTGCATCTAATATATTAGTCATTAGACTGAATTTCAACTTTTCGCATTTCTATCTCATCTACTTTTCAACTCCAATTTTTGTTCTACTTTTGTAGAAATATATATTCAACTGTGTTTTCTTTAATTCAAGTATTTACTGTTATTTCCACTATCACTAATTCTCTTTCATAAGTGCTATTCTCATGTTAGACATTAAATCGCTTCTCTCTTTCTGCTATAACTCTTTTCAAAACACACATTTTCTCTGCTGTCTGCACCATCTCCATTTTCTACAAAGTTTCGCTTTTCTGGTTTGTTTTGGTCCATTTCTTTCATGTCGAGGCCTTAATATGACTCAGATCCTTAGCCGCTGGTCCTATTTAAGAGCAAAGTACTAAAAGCAGATTGAAGGCTCTATATGCATGGAGGAGTTATGCGTGGTGAGCTTCAAGTAATATAAGAAAAAGGTGCCAAGCTGTTCACTGAGGGGGCCATGCATTTCAGTATCTGGGGCATTTTTTTCCAGAACTGTTCGGTTTGTCAAGAAAAGATGCTTCCCCACCCTTGTTGGGGGTACACAGGCCTGGCTGCTGGCATAATGGAACCGGGCAGGAGACAAGCATTGAGGTCCCAGCTCTCCGTCCCCTGTTTTCAGTCACTCACACCCCCTTCCAACATTATTCCACTTCAGTTTCTCCAGAGAACAGACCTCCAGTCTGCTCTGGGGTGGGAGGGGGTGGGGAGGTAGAAGCCAGACATCTAGGGTGGAGAGGAGGAACTGCTCCAGTTCTCCTGTCTTAAGTTCCTGAATGTTGGCCCCTCCCCCTGCCTTCTACAGTAGCCGCTGCCTTCCCTTCCAGCCTCCAGTTGTAGGCCAACTCCCTCATCTCTCCAGTCGCACTGCAGGCTGAGGCATCTATCACTCTGCTACCACTCCTCCATGTGCCTCGGAGCTCTCCTCTACGTCCCCACCGCCATTCTTTGTCTTTGTAGGTTTAGCTTTCATTCCATTCCTTTACTATCTTTTGAGTGGGATATTTGAAAAGGAGAGAGCTAACATTTAGCTTGACGAGGCCAGTATGACACACTTCAATACTAGAGCAAGAGCAGCGGGGGTGCCTTGGGCAGAGGAAGCAATGCATGACGGACGAAACAAGGGACTGGTGGGTCCTGATGCCGGTTCCCTGCCCACGTGGGCATGTTTCATTCTGGGTCTCCAGAAGTGTCTCCATTCATTAAAGTTTACCCCCCCAAAAAATGTTCTTTAACAAAAGAGCGCCTATACAAACAAGTTTATTCCCTGTGATGTCTTTTTTTTATGATATTTACTAAATGAGGTCATTTTACTCACCAATAATCTCTTCTTACGGTGAGGCTGACTTTTCTATGAAAATATTTCTTCTAATTTTTATTAATAAAATTCTTTTCTAGGGTTTTATAGTCCTTCTCATTAGCTGCTGCCACTACAGTCAACGCTAATTACATTTCAATCTTTGAATAAGGCCAGTGTGGTTTACTGCAATCTTAGCTCCCTGTTAGCAAATTAATCCGCATGTTTGAATTTCATGAAATGTCCACAGTTTATATTTCCTTGACAACAAACCTCAATCCAACATTTTCACAGTATGACATTTCTCAGCTGGGGACTGGTGTCTTAGGCAAACGTGGATTTCCTTCCCAATCACAGTGTAAACACCGAGCTAATGAATGAAGGTAAGGACAGCTGTTCTCCGTTTTCAGACACAGGGTCACCTCACCAGCTCGCACTCCCCAGACGCTCTTGCTCAGCCAGGACTAAACCCAACCAAGGGCTTACATAATTTGGCAGTACATGCTGACCCATTGCCAGGATGTAACACTGTGGCACTTGGCAAATAAAAGTGGTGTTTTGGAGTGGAAATAATGCTTTTGGAAAAGATCACTAAATGAAGATAATTGCTTTAGTTAGTGAGATCAATGAGTGTGTTTGTGAGAAAGAACAAAGAGCTTAGCTCTTGGATAGAAACACGGCCTCTCTCTGGGCATCACACATTATCAGCTGAGCACGGAGATTAGTCACAATGTTGGGCTACACATCCACTCTGGTTCCCAGTGGCACCTCCAAGACCTGGAAGCATGTTCCCCAGCAATTCCAGAGGCCCTCATGGCTGCGACAGATATGCACCTGGGCAATTGGATACCACTCCGCCATGGCTTGCTCTCCCTCCTGAGGATAACAGTCCCCACCTGCCCGGCAGGCCAGCCCCGGCACCAGCATGGCACCTGGCACAGGGGAGGGTCTCCATGCATGTCGGCTTGGAATGAATAGTTCCAGTTTATCACACACATTGTTTAAAAGAGCATCTAAGCAGAAATGGGGAGCTAATGAGCCTCAGTGCAGCCTTGAGCTTAATTCCAGGAAATAAGAAGGGAGCCACCAACCAAGAAGTTATTTCCCCAGAGTGGGATTCATTGACTGTCTCGGTCAGAGAGGAGCCACTGCAGATCAGATGATACACACAAGTTAATACCTCTAGAGCAGTGGTTCTCAACCTTGGCTGCACATTAGAATCACCTGGGAATCTTTTTAAAATCCTGATTTCTGGGCCTCATCCTCCAGAACTTCTGTTGCTTTGTTACTAATGTTGTGGCCTAACCCCATAACATAGAGGGTCTCCCACCACATCAGTCTCTGTTCCACTTTTGCTGGTTTTGATCCCACTCCGTTTTTGTTTTTGTTTGTTTGTTTGTTTTGTTTTTTACTGGTGTTACTATATTCCCAACTTTAATCTTAAAATTCAGTGACTGATATTTTATATTCCACATAGGCTCTGAAAAAGTACAGAATTCAGGTCCACAAAATGCTTAGAAAATGTAATCCATTCTTTTTCACCTGTTGCCCTTGAAATAACTTCTGAAAGTTCTCCCACCAGAACTTACTGCAGAGCTGAGATGCAGACTCTGCAGTCCTGCAGACAAGTGATGGAGCACACAGCCAGGCGCAGGGGCGAGAAACACGCCTGCGATTTGACTGGGGTCAAATCAGGCACATTGTTCTTTAATTTCTCAGTATTTTCCTATCTCAATAGTCAGATTATTGATGATGACTTCAAAAGGTACTTGGAAAAATTAAATCATATGTATATATCGTCTGCTAAATAAAAAGCAGGAAATGATAAATGAAGAAGATTCAATGTGTTATTTATGGCCACAAGAAAGCTGACTTTGGCCGAACCGGTTTGGCTCAGTGGATAGAGCGTCGGCCTGCGGACTCAGGGGTCCCAGGTTCGATTCCGGTCAAGGGCATGTACCTTGGTTGCGGGCACATCCCCACTGGGGGGCGTGCAGGAGGCAGCTGATCGATCTCTCTCATCGATGTTTCTGGTTCTCTATCCCTCTCCCTTCTTCTCTGTAAAAAATCAATAAAATATATTTAAAAAAAAAAAAAAAAAAAAAGCTGACTTTGATCATAAAATGTTTTCAAATACTTCTGAGACAGAGGCAAAAAACCCCAGTGGTTAACCAAACAGCACTAACTATCAACATCCTGAAATCTCTTATTAACTAATTAAGAAACCAGAGGGCTAAGAGTCTAAAGTTGAAGTACAGTGTGCTGTGTCCAGCGGAAATTTAATAAATAATTGTTGACCAAATACAAGAGTGTCTTAACGTTGCCAGGTACCCAGAAAGATATCTTAACCAGAGATAACAGATGCGTGACATTTGTGCTGTAGTTTCCTCTATTGAATCTAAGCCCTAAACATATCAATACAGGCTTGTTTTATCACTGCACTTTCTCCCTAAGCCCAACCTAGCTTCAGAATCCTCAATACGGCACCTTTGCCTTCCGTCCCAATCAGTCAGTGTAGACACAAAATAAAACCTGTCTGCATCCCTGACATGCATCCTGATACTCACCTAAACCTACCTGTGCTGAAGCCAAAATGGCCAAGAAAGTAAAATACCTCCTAAAACCAGTGAGGTCTTCTCAGACTTCTCGGTTTTGTCGTTCATTATGTTACAGTCCACTTTGAGCACTGAAAAACCCTTCAAACTTGGGGAACATCTTATGCTCACATTCTCACTATTGACATTAGCACAATTCTATCTGGCCACCACGAGGAAGGGAACATTTTGTTGTTGTTGTTAATCCTCACCCGAGGATATTTTTTCCATTGATTTTTAAAGAGAGTGGAAGGGAAGGAAGGAGGGACGAGAGAGAAACATCAATGTGAGAAAGACACATCAGTTGGTTGCCTCCTGCATGCGTTCCGATCGCGGCTGGGGATGGAACTTGCAGCCCAGGTCCCTGCCCTTGACCAGGAATCTAACCTGCAACCCTTCGGTGCACAGGTCGAAGTTCTAATCCCTGAGCAACACCCACCAGGGCATGGATGAGAACA